GAAAATTTTGAAAAATGTTATTTTTTTTTCCTATAAATACTTAACCCTCATCTTCTACCTTTACACCACATTCCAATATTTTCTACACTTTCTATACTATCTACATTTCAATATTTTCTACACTTTAAGAGAAAAAAATGTCTTCGTGGAAGCTCATTGAAGATGTTACGTTGTGTGAATGTTGGGTTCACACTACTCATGATCCGATTACGGGTAATGAGATGGATAAGCGAGAAATGTGGAGTAAAATTACGAAAGCGTTTTGTGATGTACATGGAGAAAACGCCAGAACTAGTCAAGGTCTTCAAGGTCGTTGGAAAAAACTCAACGCATCGTTTACTTGTTGGAAAAACGCCATCTCTCATGCTTCCGGTAACCTCCGTAGTGGGACAAGTTTAGCGGATCAGGTGACAATATTTTTATTTATTTATATGCATTCCGCTCACATTAATATTTTGATTTATTTAATTTCGTATGTAATTTTTATGTTATTTCTTATGTAATTTTTATTTAATTTCTTATGTCATTTTTATTTAATTTCTTATGTCATTTTTATGTAATTTTATATGCATTCCACCCATATTAATATTTTGAATTTATTTATTTGTGTTACACCCGCGCATTTTTTAACACTATGTTATCCCACATTTTTATAGACACTACAAGCTCAAGCATTCTACAATTCAAAGAACGGGAACAAATCATTCACTAGATGGGAATGTTGGCAAATTGTCAAAGATTGCCCTAAATACAAAATTGTCGCAACTGGTCCAGAAGTTGTCATGCACGGTATGGGTCTACATAGTTCTCCAGAACCAGACATGGCCGAACAAGAAGCCGACACATTTCAAGACACGGAAGGGATGCCTGAACAAGTGCCCGAGACCCAACCGACTCGTCAGTCCCTCAGGCCCGTAGGTAAAAAGGCGTCAAAGAAAAAAAGGTAGTTCTTTTCCAAGAATGACTACACTAAATATATGGAGGAACTTACTCGCCAAGGTGAACTGAACATGGCACGAGAAAAGGTTAGAGATGAGGAAAAAGTTGATGCTATGGCAGCAATATTAGCAGCTACTGAGGCCCGTGATGCGGCGGCTGAGAGACAAAGAGAAGTAGTTAATCGAGAGAACGAGCTGGTTAGAGAAGCACTTCATCGAGAAAATGAATTGCTTCGAGAAGAAAGGATGGCTCAAGCAGATCGTGACACTATCAGCAAGTCTCTAGTAGGACTGTCTCCGAATTCTAAATATTTTTGGACATCGGAAAAAAGAGATGTCATGCGAATGAGGCGTGCAAGAGATGCGGAAACAAGTCAAGGGGGTTCTAGCAACTTTTGTGACAACCAAGATCCTCACTTCACATATCCTAACTCGAGAGACTTTGTATAATTTTTATGTATTTTTTATGTTTTTTCTTTCTTTTTTCTTTTGAACTTTATTTAATTTCTTATGTAATTTCTTATGTTTTTTTATTTTTTTAGGTTTGAACTTTATTTAATTTCTTATGTAATTTTTATGTTATTTCTTATTTATTTTTAAAACTTTATTTCTTTTGTACTTTATTTAAACACATGAAATAAGATTACATAAACTCACCAAATAAATTTAAAAACAAAACACACTACATAGAATTACATAAACTCACCAAATAAATAGAATTACATAAACTCACCAAATAAACTTAAAAACAAAACACACTACATAGAATTACATAAACTCACCAAATAAACTTAAAAACAAAACACACTACATAGAATTACATAAACTCACCAAATACATATAATTACATAAACTCACTAAATAAACTTAAAAACAAAACACACTACATAGAATTACATAAACTTTAAAAAAATACAATTTATTCTTCAACCACAAGCTTCATTCTAATTATCTTCGCCTTCATGCAATCCCCACTGGTGCTCAATCAAGTCATTCTGGCGGGTTACGTGCCAGTATGGCTCTTGCACATTAGTGTAACGTTGAACGATCAATTCATTGTAACGTCCATCGCGTTCCAACGGCTCATGTTGCACTGGATCTTCGGTCCCATCATGAGCACAATAGATACGTGTTCTTGAGTTGTTCATCGGATCCGGCTCATATTCATCGACGCCATCATAATCATACTCATCTTCAACAATCATGTTGTGGAGAATAATACACGTCATCATGATGGATCGAAAAACATCGACATCAAACATTCTAGCTGCAGCCCTGATAATCGCCCAACGAGCTTGCAGGATACCAAAACAACGCTCGACATCCTTCCTACACCCTTCTTGACATTTTGCAAAGTGTTTTTCCTTTTCAGTCTGTGGATGTGGCACTGTTTTGACAAATGTTGACCACCTTGGGTAAATGCCATCTGCAAGGTAGTATGATCCCTCGTATTGGGTACCATTAATGGTATATGTGCATCTCGGCGAGTTTCCTTGCAGCAGTTCGTCGAACACTGGGGATTGGGCAAGGACATTTAAGTCATTCTGAGCTCCTGGAACACCAAAAAAAGCATGCCAAATCCATGTATCAAATGAAGCCACCGCTTCCAAAATGATGCTTTTGGCTCATTTTCTGTTGCCATATGCTCCTTGCCACGCACTTGGACAGTTTTTCCAAGTCCAGTGCATGCAGTCCATGCTTCCAATCATGCCAGGGAAGCATCGCATCTCACCCTTCCTCAGAAGCCTTCGCATGTCCCTTGGCGTGGGTGTCCGGAGGTACTCATTGGTGTAGAGGGCTTCAATTGCAGAGCAAAAACGCATCAGGGACTCCAAAACAGTTGTTTTTCCCATCCTCGCGATCTCATCCACTTGATCTGCAGATGCTCCATATGCAAGCATTCGCAAGGATGCCGTAATTTTTTGCTCGGGAATGAGACCTAGAACATGAAAAGCATCCTCTTTTTGCACAAAGTATGAATCATGGTTGCAAATATCACTCATGATTTTGTTGAACAAATTTCGTTGCATTCTAAAACGCCGTCTAAAAATATGATCAGGAAATATGCTATTGGGAATAAAATAATCTTCCAATAGATTTTTACCTCGTTTTTCCCTTTTTCTATCGAGGTTTGCAACACGTCTTGGTTTGGCTATCTGACCCACGGCTTCCATGACACGGCGGGAATGTGAGGCCTTCTGCCTTCTATGGTGATCATCCTCATCCTCCTCCATGAAGAAAGCCTCATCTCCACCTCCACTTCCACCTTCCTCGAGATTGGCCAATTCTGCCTGTTGTGCCAACAACCTTTGTTGTTGCTCCTGCAACTGTTTATACACCATTCTTGAAGAAGACATTGTAATAAGAACTTAAGATTTGAAAACGATGAACAAGGATTCTGAGCTAAAAAGAAGGATTGAGCTTGGTGTGAGGATGGATGTAGGGATGTAGGGTTTATATGGACAAAAAAAGAAAGGATGAGGTTCTGGACAATGCCACGTGGCACTACGTGATTGGTTGAAAATCTTATCGAAATCTTGGCTAAATTATTGTAAACCGGAAGTGACACGTGGCATGTCGGGATTGGTCGAAAATATTATCAGAAATCTATCCACAAAATAGTACATTCAGATAATGACACGTGGCATGACGTGATTGGTTGAAAATCTTATCGAAATCTTGGCTAAATTATTGTAAAACGGAAGTGACACGTGGCGTGTCGGGATTGGTTGAAAATCTTAGCGGAAATCTATTCACAAAATAGTACGTTCAGATAATGACATGTGGCGTGACGAGATTGGTTAAAAATCCTATCCGAAATTAAAACTATTTTATTTTTTTATTCTTTTAGACAAAATTTAAAAATATCTTAAATGGGCTAGGTGCCAGCGCATTTTGTAAGGATAGAGATCGTTTGTGCCAGCGCATTTTTTTAGGGGTGGAGATGCCTTGGCCTATTACTGTTCATTGGAGTCTGTTACTGTTCATTTGAGTGGATAAATGCGCTGGGTGCTGGCGCAAAGTCCTTAGGGGTGGAATTGCTAAGGATCCTTACATTTTAACGTTTATCGTGCAGTAAGTTTTCGTCAAATATTTATGTTTAATTTTAAATAAAAAAAATTAAATAATTTCTGATTGCAAGATACACAATAAATGATTAAGATGCAAAAATAGTGAATCCGGATAAGATCCAATTCTGGGTTTGGGTTTGGTAAAATTGAAACGCCCAACCTCATAGCAAGGCCTAAGGCCATATATGTATCATTATGGTCTAGCACACTAATGAAAAGCAATGCCAATCCGGACACGATAAGTTACGTAATTTGAAATCCGTACGAATCATAAATAAAATGTGTACACCATTAACACCGTTCAAGTAATATTATGTTCACAAAATGATAATATTATAGTCGGATTTTCCTATTAGACTTGCGCGAGTTGACACCCTTACTGCACACACTTTTAAATTGTTCTCTCTATAACTCTTTTAAGTTTATATAGAGAGGTATTTTGAAGTTATTTCTTGGAGATATCTTACAAGCACTTCGCACTAAGCTGCATAGACAATGCATATCTTGAACATATTTCTTCCAACCCTATTCATTGTGGCTCTAAGCCTTTGTGTGCAGATTTGGATCCCATATGGATTCAAATTGTGAAGATTTTAGGGATCTTCGCAGCTTAGTTATTTTTTTTATTTAAAATTAAACACAAATATATAGTACTGATGAAAACTGACCGCACGATGTTCGATAAATAGCTAGGATGTGATGATCCTCTTCCTTTATGTGCAGCCTATGGTCTAAAGCATCATTGGCTTTACCCACTTCCTTTGAATAGTATAGCTTTCTCATAAAAGCCTTACAATTTTACATTAATATTTCAACAGAGATTGAATCGACTTGTCATGGAAACAATCACTGAACCTCAAACACCAAAAAGAAAAGAAAAAAAGAGGGAATGAATTAGAGGAATTTTGATTAACTTCGAAACACAAAACAATCCTTGAACCTCAATTGTTAAAATATTGCTTGAAAGAAAAACAAGAAATAAAAACCATCTCTAAACGCAATCATCCCACAATGTAAATAGTTGAAAAACATAAAGGAAAGGAAAACATATAGAATACTACCAGATTTAAGTCTAAGGGATAAACTATAGCATGTAGAAATAAACCAACAGAGTTATATATTTCTACTCATCTCCTTTCAAGCGGATTGAGCACGTGACCGATGAATAGAACCGTTGCAGTCATTTCCTCTCTGATGAAAAACAGGAATGGGTGATCAGCCACAAAGTCTATCATTTTAGTCGGTTCATCGTCGTGTAGAGAAAATTGTATGTCATCAACAGTTACAGCTGCAGCTTTTGTGCCTTCTTCATCAACTTCAATGAAGGACTTATGGATAAGTCTGGCCTTACCTCGGGGTGACTCCACCATCTCTGTCAGTTCACCATCATCACTAAAAGGCAACACCAGTCCTAAATCCTTGAGAATATCGGAAGCTTCAAAGCCAGAGGTGATCTTAAACCTTGGCATTTTGAACAAACGAACTGGGACTAGTGGTTCGGGGCGATGGCAATCTAAGAAATCATGCTGGGAACAAACCCTCTCGACCAAAGCTGGGAGCCCATCCCTTGCATCGGGAAGTAATAAGTGCATTGCAAACTGCCGCTTCTCGTCTTCGCCTTGTTCGTAAGGAAGCTTCAAGATTTTGAAGCCATCAAAGACTTTTACAAACCGGTCCCCGTAGCTTCTCATTAATGGTGCCTTAACAAAAGTACCATCGAGGAGGTAGAAGCGACACTCTTCTGTCTCCGATGCATCAAACGGGTCGCTCCACACTCCTTTGAAGTATATTGCATTTGCAGCTATAAGCGTGGTTTTGTTGTTAATTGTCCCAGGACCAAGAACATCTTTGATAAGGCCCTGCGTCGCCTTTTTAGCCCATGCGTTCACTTCAGCTCTCGCTTCTTCAGGGTTGGTCCGGAAATTAACTTGTTTTATAGCCGCCTTGTGAACAGTTTCCACAACCTTTTTGAAAGAAGGTTTGATGGAGACAGATTCCTCAACCCAGAGGCCATTGGCAAAGCTCAGGCAGGGACCGCCTCTAGTGGATCCATCCGCAAAGATCAGAGGGACAAGATGGGAGGAGAGGGAGTTGAGTTCGTCGACGGACTTGGACTTGAGGAAAGAGAGCAACTGCTCCTTTGTGGGACCCTTTGACCCTGCCGTTAACAGCCACAGGACGACCTGAATAGACAGCGGCGAATACACCATGTTCTTGTCTTTGCCGTCAGTGGTGAGCAGTTGCTTAGTAATTTTGAGAGAGACATCGGTTAGGTTGCTGATGGATTCTTTGGTCGACTGAGATACGTACAAACAAACAAGCTCCAGTTACAAGGAAATTAAACACAAATAATAGCGTTTAGAAATCAACCAGAAATCATAGATTTCAAAAACCCCAAGTGAACTACCAATGCTTAATTCTAAACTCCAACAGTCAAAAGTGCTACACAAATTTAATTATTATCATCCAGAAATATTATATTATAAGAAAAATTAAACCAACATTGGGTTGACCCATATATAGTTTAGGGAAAACAGATTTAACATACATTAAACCCTAAACCCTAAATCCCATATAGAGAAACAACTAATTGCCCGGTGGTGAAAGCGGCATGCAATATTTGGAATCAAAACCTAAATAGTAAGGTTCTTAATTCCAAAGAGTACAGAGCTAGGGTTTTGAAGGAAGAATAATGAAAAGACTACTCACCATGTTGTACGAAACAATTTTGGCAGCCACGCTGGTTTTGAAGTAGATTTGGAAGGGGGTGGGGAAGCGAGAGGCGTTTAAGTGAACTTTTTATTGTGGAAGGGGGTACAATTTTTGTTTTAATATAGAAAAAGGGTAAATCGCCAAAATAGTCATTGAGATTTGCATAACTCATCACTTTGGTCTCTGAGATTCCAAATCGATAAAATGGTCCCTGAGATTGTCCACCATCCATCATTTTGGTCTTTCTGTTAAAAACTCCGTTAAGTGTCCTGGAGCTCTTGGCCGGAAGTTTGGGCAATTTTCAAAGCTTCGTAACTCAATCGTTTCTTAACCAAATTCGACCTATAATATATCAAAATGAAGATAGAAAAGTGTAGAATAAGATTATACCTATTTCAAAGCCCAATGGCGGCAGGAGATGGCCGGAAAATAGCCTCAAAGTTGACTGGTCCGAGTGAAAACTTGAAAACTCGTCGGAAACTGGGTAAACTTTAAACGCTCATAACTTCTTAAATACTCAACGAAATCAAGTGATTCAAAAATAAAAATCATACTTCTCGACGAGACAAAGAGAATGGTACCTTTTTCGACGGCTAACTCGCCTTGGTTTGGCCGGAAAACGGCTCGAAAGTGGCTAATTCGAGACCAAGACAGCCACTTTCGAGCCGTTTTCCAGCCAAACCACGGTGATTTAGCCATAAAAAATGTACCATTCTCTTTGTCTCGTTGATAAGTATGATTTTTGCTTTTGAATCACTTGATTTCGTTGAGTATTGAAGAAGTTATGAATGTTTAAAGTTTACCCAGTTTCCAGCGAGTTTTCAAGTTTTCACTCGGACCAGTCAACTTTGAAGCTATTTTTCGGCAATCTCAGGCAACCATTGGGCTTCGAAATAGGTATAATCTTATTCTACCATTCCTATCTTCATTTTGATATATTATGGGTCGAATTTGGTTAAGAAACGATTGAGTTACAAAGCTTTAAAAATTGCCCAAACTTCCAACCAAGAGCTCCGGGACACTTAATGGAGTTTTTAACGGAATGACCAAAATGATGGATGGTGGACAATCTCAGGGATCACTTTTATCGATTTGGAATCTCAGGGACCAAAGTGATGAGTTATGCAAATCTCATAGACCATTTTGGCGATTTACCCTATAGAAAAATTAGAAGGGGCGTGAAAAACTAGGACTCCCTTGATAGCCAATTGGGCCCAAACAGGGCCTATTTGCGAATGTGTTTTTGTAGAAAGTATTTTAGCTCGCTATCATGAATCTTGCCGGATTCACGAAATTTATCTCTTATTTATTGTAATTGGTTGTAATCAATTAGCTTAGCCATTCAAGTCAACTTACATGGAAAGTGATTTTTGTTGAATTGATTTTTTAATAATAGTACAAACATATATAGTATACAAGAGTTGACCTGAATGGACAAGGGCAAATACACCATGTTCTTCTCTTTGCCTTCAGTCGTGAGCAGATGTTTAGTAATTTTGAGAGAGACATCGGTTAGGTTACTGATGGATTCGTTGGTCGACTGAGAAACAAAAAAAACAGAAACCTCCATTTACAAGGAATACAAACACAAGAATAATTAACCTAACAATGAGAAACCCTAAATCCAATATAGAAAAACAACTGATAGACCAGCGGTGAAAAATGCATGCAATTTTTGGAATCAAAAGTTCAAATTGAATTGTAAACTGTAAGGGGATTAATGTTCAAAATTTAAGAAATTAGAATTCAAAATCAAAAGGAAAATTGAAAGCTAGGGTTAGGGGTTTGCACCGAATAATAATCAATAACAAAAGGGAAAACTTACTTAAATATCGCGACTGGGGAGGGAGAAGGGAAGAAGAGCAACAGGATCAATCTTACTCATCAAATTGACGTCCTGGAAGGGTTCCAGGTCTGCTGTCCCTGTTTGGATTAAAACTTGATTTTTGGCCCAAGGATGGAGTCGGCCCAAAAGGAGACCTGAAGGAATAGAAGATCAAGGCCCGGCCGAAACTTGGGAAAGCAGGAAAGGGCCTTTTCTGACTTGATACAATTCATAAGGGCCACTTGCCTACCTACCCAAGGACCAAGTGGTGTAGACTGATCAAACTGCACAGCCCATAAAGTACTTTATGGTGGCATTACATGTAATAAAGCTGATGAGTCATCACCCTCAGACCGCATTCGGGCAAAGCTGTCGCTACAGGAGCCAAACCGAGTCGTCTATAAAAGGAGGAAGAGAAGACAGGAATAGAGACACTCAATCAAACAAACAAAAGCACAAACTCTGCTCAAAAAGCCAGATTTGCCTTTCAAAACAAAGCTGTAATCAGCCCAAGCCTTCATCCCCCGCGGGATAATCTTTTCTCCCAACCTCTGTAATAGCTCTGCTACCTTGTTCGAACTTGTTGTAGTATCGATTCACCCTTTGTATTCTCCTTTCCCCTCTCCCCCTCTAAGCTTTCAGACCTTTGACAGAACTACAAAGATAGGGACCTACAAGACGATCAGCCTTAATTGATAAGGTTTAATCTTGCCCGACCTGCTTTGCTCTGTCTTTGTCTTCTCTTTCGTTAAAGTCTAGCAATATGTTGTATATTTCCAGTTATATGCAAGTTGTTTCTAGTAAAATCACAATGACAAAGCTTTCTCAGTACTTGGATCCGATTTGAATATATCTTCAATGCTTAAATCAGATCCAAGTCCTAAGCCCTCAGGCATGTAAATCTGATTAGTTTAAAAGTCCTTGGCCTCAAGGCATAAAAAAGAACTTTATGTGGACTTAACCCATCCACGATCCTTGATAAACGAGAAGTCCGAAGTTACTTGGGCGCAAGTAATCGACCTACCTCTTGGTTTTATTTCTATTATATCATAATTATCATAGAACGCTTAAGTATAGAATGGATTCTGATAGAAAGCCTCAAGGCCTACACCTAAGGCCCCACAAAGGCACTTATTTGGATTTATTCTATTCTGCGGTCTAGATGGTTTAAGTATAAGAACGGACTCTAATGGGAAGCCTCAAGGCCTACACCTAAGGCCCCACAAAGGCACCTATTTGGGTTCGCTCTACCTCTCAGACTCGGATAATCAGAAATATAATAGTTATAAGACCCCGATAACCATAAAGACCAAATATAATATGCTCAAGTACTGGTTTAGTTTGACAGGAAGCCTCAAGGCCTATACCTAAGGCCCCACAAAAGGCACCTGTTATATCTAACACGGTTTCTCGGGCCTATGCATATTCACAACTAAAACTTGACATCTATTCGACATCTGCCATAATGAAGATGGCAGTGGCACGCCTGAGCACCAAAATGTTAACCTTGATTGTGAGCCTCAAGGCCTACACCTAAGGCCCCACAAAGGCACCTCTCAAAGTTAACGCTGTCCTTCTCTTTCAGCCTTGCCCGAAGAGTCTTGCCCGACGAGACTTGCCCGACAAAGCCCGACAGGAAAGCAGAAGCCCGACAGCAGCCCTCAACCGGCGCCGAACCTCCAGGGGAGCTGTGTGCTCGTCGGCCAGGAAACATCCCCGACGGGAATTCCTGCCACGAACAGTCCCCTTTTGTGTGTCTCATTTGTGTCTCATTGCTAATATTTTGACACATGTCATCTAACTTAACCTCAAACTCTGTTAACTTTTTATTTAACATTTAAAAGTTTAAAAAATCCAAAATAATCTGCAAATCCAAAATAGAATTCTTTCTGTGGTTGTTGGGTTACCAACATAAGCAAACTTCTTCCAAATTTTTCTGCATCGTTGTACTGCTTCTTCACTTCTTTCCAAGTCAGCTCTGGTTGAACTTGGAGTCTGTCCAGTTGAAACTTGAAAACAAGCTCTTATAGGAGTTCGTTTTCTCCATGGTTGTACTGCGTTTTCTCTATAGTTTATCCTTGAGAAGTTAAGCAACAAATCAGGTATAGGATATATATATATATATACAGATTGCTTAAGGGAAGGGATCCCCATTTTTTGAAAAAAATGGGGATTAGGTGTGGGGCCCACTCCAGATTGAATTTTAACGATCCGAACCATCTATTTTGTTAGTCTCGATTCATAGATCATCCTTGCAAAAATTCAATTCAATCCGAAACCGTTTGCCTATTTAATTATCAAGATCAAATTTCATTTTTTCTTATATAACAAAGTATTCGTTCATTTCCTTGAACCCAATTAGATGTCTTAAACATTTCCGATTTAGCTAATATTTTGCAAGGATGATCTATGAATCTAGACTAACAAAATAGACGGTTCTGATCGTTGAAATTCGATGTGGAGTAGGCCCCACACCTAATCCCCATGTTTTTCAAAAAATGGGGATCCCTTCCCTTAAGCAATCTGTATATATATATATATATTATATGTATGTATATATATATGTATGTATGTATATTTGAATCATTTATAGTTTTCTTGCTTCTTATTCATATATAAATTTGACTCTCATATTGTATTTTTCATTTTTCCTCAAAGACATGGACGGACAAAATAATCCATGTGAAGCCAATGGAACCGAAGCATATGAAAAGCACCAAAGAAGGATTTAGGCTTTGATCAGCTCTCAAATGACAAGCACCACAAAGACTCATGATAATGATATGAAACTGCAAGATGCTATGAGAAAAATGCTCAACGAATTTACTCTGTTTTGGGACTAAAGTTTCAGTTAATACTTTTTATTAAAGATTAATTTTATTTGGTTTGATGTTTGGAAAGTAGTAGCGACTATCAATTCTTGTGATTTTCTGATGACTCATAAAATAGTTTGATTGAGAAGAAAGAATTTTATTTTGTTTTTAGAGTGAAATTTGTTTGACACCAAGGAAACGAACCCTGCAACAGCTTTCTTCGAGTCACAAATGAGTTCTTGCATTTAAATGACATAGAGAGCACTACAATTGTGAGGGATGATTTCATATTTGTTGTAATCTCAGTCACCTCAAACTGAGATTTTCTGCACGACAATAACAACAGCAACATACACACAATTGATAATGAATAAAACCCTCCGTTTGCTTACTCAACCTCTTCACCCAGTATGCTTGTCCCACTGTTTCGAATCGTTTCCGTCTTCACTAAACAATTTATACCTCTTCTTCGATCCAGAATTCCCAGAGAATCCTTGACTCCTAGAATACAACGGGATTTCACACCTGAAAAACTCTCACTCTACCACCTCTTAGCAAATCCATATTATGTGATCTTCTCGTTGACTTCAGCCAACAGCTTTTGGCATATTTGGTAGAGAAATGTTGGCAGGATATGGGGTCTCATGGTAAGCTTGTTTTCAAGTTTCAACTGGACATAATCCAAGTTCAACCAGAGCTGGCCTAGAAAGAAGTGAAGAAGCAGTACAACGATGGAGAAAAATTGGGAAGAAGTTTGCTCACGTTGGTAACCCGACAGCCACATAAAGAATTCTATTTTTGGATTTGCAGACCTCGATAACCCAACAGTCAGATTATTTTGGAATTTTTTTTTTAACTTTTAAATGTTAAATAAAAAGTTAACAGAGTTAGAAACCAAGTTAAGCTAAAAGACATGTGTCAAAATATTAGCAATGAGACATAAAGGAGACGCACAAAAGGGGACAACAGACCTGGAGCCAGAAGGGAAGGGTGTCGGCTCTTCAAACGAGGGCATATAGAACGGACCCTCAGATTCTAAGGCGCCAGGAGAACAAGGCTGCTGAAAGTTAAACAACAGCGTCTGCTGCTGAAACGTCGACGGCGGCCCCAAGACTGCCGTCAACGAAGGCGTCACGTACGGGGACGACGAAGATTGATCTCCGAACATCGTCTCTCGCTGTTGAATGTAGAGAGGGAGAGTGGTGTAGCTCAAGCTGCTCAGCTGTTGGACGTTTTGGGGTTTTGAGGTAAAAAGCACCAAATCTATGACCAAAACGGTGTAGAATTTTGATTTAAACTTCTGCAGAATGGTTGCAATATATAGAGAGGGTTTTAACCTCAACCTTGTTGCGGAAGGAATGTATCCAATTATAATATAATAGAGAAATTATGTTTTTATTATTTGTGTGTGTGTGTTTTTTTGTCAAATGATAGATTTTGTCAGATTAGATGTTAGATTAGTCACTAACGGAGTTTGAACTTAAGATTCAACACATTTCCACCACCCACTGTGATAAAGGGGCACTTGCTTTGTGTTTTTATTTATAATAAATATTGAAAGTGGAGTTTGAAGGTGATTCAGTATTGACAGTTGCAGCTATTGCGCAAAACGGCGATGATATGTCGACGCTCGGACCGATTATTAATGAGCTTAGGGAGTATGTACGTGCTTTTTCTGAGACAAGGATGAACCATGTTCGAAGAGATGCTAACCATGTGGCACATAGATTGGTACGAGTAGGTCGGACCAGCAGGTAGAGATGCAATGGAATTTGATTACTGATGTACTTTTGCAAGATAGCATTAGTCGTGCTTAATCCCTTTTCGTGGTATTGAGGATAGCTTTCTCTTTGTAAGTGCGGGACACTTTTTTTCCTTTCGATTGGGTTGCAATTCCTGGCAATATTTTTATCGAGGCCCAGCTATGCACTGTATCCTCACCCTTTAGTTTGTACGTTTTCCCGGTTTATTGAATATCGTTTTTACTCAAAAAAAAAAATTATAGTGGACTTACTTGTCTTGCAAGTAATACAAAACTTTAAAGAATAAGATTTTCTAGATCACCTCAGAATTCTAAATATAATATACTAATGATTTATACAATCACACATATATTATAATTAATATCACAATATTAGGAAAAGTTTCTTTTGGAATCCATTTTTTTCCTTGTGATCAATTTCTTTTTTGTGTGAAGTTGAGGGGGGCATTTTTCTTCTTTTGTGTCAGATCCCAGTCCAAACAATCTCAGTTTAATATATAAAAATAAACGATTCGATTGTATACTCTAAATGTGGAAATTGATTTTCCTTGGATTGATTTGTGTAATACCACAAACATTTATAGTATACAAGAGTTGACTTGAATGGCAGATCAATCTAGGGAGAGATTTTTCAGTGTGACTAGTACACGGGGTGATACATCACTTGTCATTAAATAAATTATGTGATATGTGTGCTAAAAAGTTAATAACTTAAAAAATGAAAATTTCTAACATTCCTATTAAAACACGTGGTACATCAGTTGTCATTAAACAAATGATGTGATATGTGTGCTAAAAAGTTAATAACTTAAAAAATAAAAATTTCCACCATTTCTATTAAAACACGTATTGTACCACTTGTATTCCTGTCACAATTAAAAATTTCTCCAATCTAGGTCAATCCGGTGAGATTTCCGATGGCGAGAGAATCTTGCTGACATATATGTTCATGGTCTAATTGTTTTTAGTATAAACATTTTTGGAGTTGTTATTAAAAATTTAAGTTTTTCTACAAAAGCGTTTTTGGCTGTGAAAGCACTTTTAAAAGCAATTTTTTTGTATAGCGCACTTCATTTAATAACACCTCAAATGAAATACATTTATAACTTGCATCAAATTAATACACAGCGTTATACACACCTCAATTGTTTTGGTGTCTTAGTCTTCGACTCTATCCGGCAATATCACTTGTTGTATGTAAATAATTACAAATAAACAAAATTTTGCGTGTTGATGGGGAGAAATTTTTCATTGTACCCAAAACAAGGGTGGTACACTACGTGTCACTATATAAGTGGTGAGATATTTGTGTTAAAAAATTAACAACTTAAAATATAAAACTTCCCTTGACTTGTGTAACACGTGGTGTAAAATGGTGTAGCTCATCTTTTCAACGTTTTTGCCAGCCACACTAGGGTTTTGAACCCAATTCTCTGATCAAAACGGGGTAGACTTTGGTTTAATTTTCTGTACAATAGTTAGGTCAAACACTAACCACCATGTTTCCTCAAAAATAGGAATTATTAACAGAAGCAAATTAAACTAATAAAAGCTCAATAAAACTAAGGGATAAATATCCACACACAAAAAAAAAAAAAAGCGGGGTAGAATTTTGGTTTTATTCTTTAGGTTAAACTAAGTAATCTTTTTTCCATACGGAATCCTATTTTGATTACTGTTTTTTTAACAAACGATATTATCTACAATAAATGGAGAAGGTTTAGCCTCATAATGGGGCTAACAATAATGTGGTTCATATTCACCTTTGGTGAGAATCGAACCTTGGAACCTAAAAGTTCTCTCTTATAAGTAAGAGTTCTCCTTTATAAGTTAAGAAGAATACCACTAGACCGTAGTACTAAGAGAATTCGGGGACATATTTCTACTCCAATAGCGTCCAGAAAAAACAGATTAAAAAGGAGAGTTGCCCTAATGATAAATCATTTTTCGAGAGGATTGAGAAGGTGACTAATGAACAAACCGTTTCAGTCATTTCCTCTTTGATCAAAAACATGATCAGCCACAAAATCTATCTTTTTGCGAGAAATCGGAGGACCACCAGAATTGAAACAAACAACTACATAACTAGAAACTGTCGCAACTTCTGTACCTTCTATTTATGATACATTGTGGCCGCATCTGGTGATGACTCCACCATCTCGGTTGAATTACCACCATTGAAAGGCAACACCAGTCATAAAGCAACTTTTTTTTAGTAGGTATGAAGTATGTATATAAACAAAATTTTGTATGGTGGTTGGTCCTTAAAAAGAATTATTAGTTAAGATTCATAACACCTTTTATTTGAGTTCACCGATATTTTTATCTATGCCAAGTTTTAAATTAAAACTAAACTCGTTTTATTAACATCCACATTTTCATCCACACCCACAAACACTCATACCACCCAAATGGTTTTCTTTCGGTCTGACTCTGGCGACTATCTCTCGCATCTCGGCAACCATCCCTCACTGCTTGTGAGGCATTTACAGTTTTAAATTTTTTTGAAAAAAAAAATAAAGAACAAAAGCAAAAGGGTGGACATAGAAAAAGGAGAATATCAAAGACCGTGAAATAAGGTTTTTTGTGCCTAACAATCCTCACTTGGGTTAAATGAAGAACTCAAAAAGGTGCTAAAAGGGTTCAGCTGCAGGGATATACGAAATATACGAAATTTTGTTTTCATTTAGATGAGGACTTGAGAGAGTTCAGAGAAATACTTTCGTTTTACAATTAAATATAATAAAAAAAAACATAAACGAGAAGAGAGAAGAGATTGGATCAACTTGTCGAGGGATCACTGTCCCTTTTTTACTCCTAATATTGAACATTATACTGTTTAGATCACAGTTTATCTCATCATCGTGTTCGTTTATTGCCTATCAAAAACCAATAATTTTCTGAGAAACACAAAGCAATCACTGAACCTCAAATGTAAAAATACTGCCCAAAGAAAACTAATCAATAAAAATTAGTAATCATCCCAACCGCAATCATACATCCAAATTATATAATATATAGAGCACTAGTTGTTTCAGTTAAAAAAAGAGAGCAAAACTACCAAATCTAAATCTAAGGGATATCAAACCTAAAAGAGAGATAGAACAAGAGAGATTTTCTGACCCTATCTATGATAAAATCATTCTTTAAGAGGATTGAGCACTTGACCAATAAACATAACCGTTCCAGTCCTTTCCTCTCTAATAAAAAAGAGGAATGGGTGATCAGCCACGAAGTCTATCTTTTTAATCGGTACAATCGGTCTAGCCGATGCAGCTGAATAACCGACAAAAGTAGAAACAGCTGCAGCTTTTGTGCCTTCTTCTTCAACTTCGATGAAGGATATATGAAATATCTTTCCCTTAATTATATCTGACTCCACCATCTCTGTCGAACCATCAGTGAATGGCAACACCAGTCCTAAATCCTGGAGAATATCGGAAGCTTTAAAGCCAGAGGTAACCTTAAACCTGGGGATTTTGAAGGCACCAACTGGGACTTGTCTTGCTGGGCGATGACGATCTAAGAAACCAGGCTCGGAACAAACTCTTTCAACCAAAGCTGGCAGCCCATTTCTTGCATGTGGAAGTAAAAAGTACATAGAAAACTGCCTCTCCTTGTCTTCGCCTTGTTTGTAAGGGAGCTTTGCAACTTTGAAGCCGTCAAAGGCTTCTACAAACTGGGCCTCGTAGCTTCTCATGAACTGTGCCTTAACATAATGACCGTTGAGAAGGCGGAAAAAATCCTCTTTTGTATTGGATGCATTGAACTTGTTGCTCCAAAGGCCTTTGAAGTATAAGGCATTTGAAAATATAAGAACGGTTTTCTTGTCAACTAACCCAGGAGGAAGTGCCTCAGTGATAAGGCCTTTCGTTGCCTTTTCTGCCCATAAATTCACTTCAAGTCTCACTTTTTCAGGGTTTTGGAAACTAACATGGTTTATATCTGCCTTGTAAGAAATGTCCACAACCTCTTTGAAAGAAGGTTTGATGGAGAGAGACTCCTTAACCCAAAGGCCATTGGCAAATGATAGGCAGGGACCGCCTCTAGGGGATCCATCTGCGAAGACCAGAGGAACAAGATGGGTTGCGACTCGCGAGGGAGTTGAGTTCGTCGACGGACTCGGACTTAAGGAAAGAGAGCAACTGCCCCTTTGTGGGACCCTTTGACCCGGCCGTTAACAGCCACAGGACGATCTGAATGGACAGCGGCGAATACACCATGTTTTTGTCTTTGCCTTCAGCGGTGAGTAGATGCTTAGTAATTTTGAGAGAGACATCGGTTAGGTTGCTGATGGATTCTTTGGTCGACTGAGAAACAAACAAACAAAAAGTTACAAGGAATTCAAACACAAGAATAATTAACTTAACATTGAGAAACCCTAAATCCCATATGGATAAACAATT